TTTTTTTCCTCCTATAACTACTCAGAATTTTTGTTATTCAATAGAGCTTTTCTTTTAATTGATTTGAAAGCGGTCCAATATCCTGTTAGCCACCCCTGCCCACATATACATGTAGAAAGAGAAGAGACATATTATTCTTAGCATTATAAACCTAAGAGGAAATTGCCTTTCTTAAATAGGGCTCCCAGGAAATAGAAAGCTGGTCCTGTTCTCTTTGCAACAAATGACAAACTAAAGCTATTCATCAGGAAGTTCCCACAGCAAAGAGGGTCATCACCTTTATTTATAGCCTCAGATATCGACACAAAATCACTCCTTCAAATTTCTTCAGGAGTTTTATGAAAGGGGTCTATTTAGAAGAGGGCCTCAAACTAAGGTGTAGTGACATGATTATGGGCCGTCTTGGAATTTAAGTGGTTTGTAGTGTCATGATTTTGTCAATTTACTAAGTGAACCTAAAACACAACATTTCAGAGAAATCTGTTTTTCAAAAATTTATGTTCATGTGAAAAAAAGATGTCTTGGAAAACATATATATTTATATAATGAAAACTGTAATAACAGCAAACACTCATATAGCACTTATTATGAGCAAGCCATTGTTCTACAACATGCTTTCCATATATTCAATCATTCAAACTAGTAATCAAATCTCTAGGCTGAGGGAAAAGTACAGAAGGTGTAAGCATTTTTGAAAAACAGTGTGAAGAAGAAGTCATCCACTTGTCACATGTCCCAGCAGCTGAAGCCAGGCGTTTTAGGGCTATGGTGACCTGTGACCTAGCCACTAATGGCTGCTTCAGATTTCTACCTGTCGACTAAGAGATGAGGTTCAATTAAACCTTCTGAATTGCATAGCCAGCATCTCATCTTCTAAAACACTGTTTTTACCAATGTGAAGTTGTCATCCAATGCTAACCAGTCAGGACAGTGTGGCTGGAATCAGGTATAATTGAGTTCCATGTGTTTCCACCCAGGGGGTTGTTTCTGATCTAATTTCAACATGTACAGCTCCCATCAGGAGGCCTGAGTGATTTCATCACTTGCCCACTAATTTTGAGCCAAGAAAAGCTACATCATTACGTCAAAGGGAAAAAATAGCTTGAATATTCTTTTTTATATAACTGAATTGGGCAAAAGCCACCATTTATGCTCTACTTTACACCAAGCATTGAGGTAGGTGCCTTAAATATCATTAGTTTCAATTCGTGCAATAACCTCAAAAATAACATGATATTTCAATGTCAAAGATGAAGAACATGGTAATCATAAAGAATTACTAAAAAAGCATCTGAGGTAGAATAAAAGAAATGAAAGACGTCCTTTTGTAGAGTGGAACTAAAGGTGTAAACTCTCTCTTTTTGCTCCCATAGCTTAGCAGAGTGGTGAGTGCACAGTTGGACTCAATGCTACGTGATCAATGGTGAAACTGACAATCCACCAAACATATAACTTCCTTCTTCATTAATAGTTCTGGCTGGAACCACATGGTAATTCAAATTTATCAAACATTTAATAAAAGGTATAATTTACTTGAGTTCAAAGATGCCAGATTTGTCCTATTTGTTTCATTAATAGCCTTATGAAAGCACTTAAATAATGAGCATAGCACATCTTCAGAGAAGAAGGCATTTTGTGAGGAGGGGGTGAGTCAGGGTGATTAGAGAAACTTCATATGTAAATACTCAGGGATCCTAAAAGACATTGGCATGAAATACACAGAAAATTTGGACAACCCACTTGTAAAAGTAATTATACATCTTTTTATAAAAATATCTGCTTTAACTTGCTTAAGGAGTAGCAAAAGTGCATAGCAGAAATATGCACCTGAATATTTAACTCAATATGTTACTTTCCTAAAAATTCAGTTTCCCAAAATATGATCTGCTGATATCTGAAATGATTTTTATCAAGATACATCTAACAGTATCCAAAGTCTCATAACATCAGCAACTACAATTTTTGTCCATATTATTTTATATTTGTAATCAAGATGAAAAGCAAGCAAGAAAAAGATATTTAAGAAAACCAGTACATCATTACGTTAAGAAACAAAGACCTGCAGGAGGGACACACTATAATGAAAAAATACTCAGATTCGAAGAGGATAAAAAAAAAACCCAAAACTTCTATTCCAAAAAAGTAGTTGTAAAGTAGAAACAAATCTCATAAACTAAGAATTTCATAGGAAGCTGTCACATGAACAGAGCCAATTCTGCCAAAAAAGCAACATGCATGAATTATTAAAGATGGGCATGAAAAAAAAATAGGGATTGAACAGAAAAAGCCAATGTAGAAAAGATATCTCACAAAATGTAATATCGAAAGAGAAACTACTCATGGAATACACTATTAAGACACTATCAAGGAAAGGTAAGATCTGAAGAAAAGCTTACAGTGAAAGATCCCATTGAAGCAATGGAATCTGAAGTTTAAGCCTCAAGAGGAATTGAATTGAAAACTAGGAAACAAAGAAAGAAACACTGAGGGAGAAGAAGAGAAGTTAAACTAGGCTTGGTGCAAGAGCACCAAAACAGCTGTCATCAGGTAGAGTCAGTAACTGCTGTGTCTTGTATATTGGACAACAGACTTTGGTGCAGTGGAACAAAATTAAAATTTACACAACAAATCCATGCATGGAGCAAGACAAATAGGGTTTCTGCTTCATGGAGCTTACTTTCTTGCGGGAGGATGCAAGCTGTACATTAATGAACAAGCAACAAATAGATAAGTAAACAAGAGTCTTTCAGATAGTGATAAGTGTGGAAAAGAAAACAGAGACAGAAAGATTATCTGGAGTATGGCTATTAACAGGATGCTCCTCACTTTCCATTGCATTATAATATTTAACAAAGCAGACAAAAGTCAAGTAAATAAAAAGGAGAGGAGGTTGACAAAAATGTTCTCTCTCTTTTTCTCTCCTCTCCTCTCTCTTCCCCTTCCTCCCTCCTCCCTATCCTCCCACTCTCCCTCCTCTCCCATCCCCCATCCCACCATCCTGTTCTTAGGGTCAGTCTCCCCAGAGAAAGGGCGAGGCAGTAAACTAGTCTATAAGGAAGGGTTGGTAAGACATATAAGCAATGGCTAGAAGAATTGGATCACTTAGCTGTGTTCAAGAAGTAAAAGAAGTGACGATTTGAAGTGCAATTAGACTTCTCACACTGGATTTACTAGGTACTTAAAGTGAGGACTCTATATAAAGAGAATGATAGACTACACTCAGACAGCGAGAGTAGGATTCAGGCCAGAGGAACACCAGCAAGTACTGTAATTAGTAAGAACCTATACTGTTTTCAGTACTGTGTTAATATGCTGGAAAATACTGAAAAAATCAACTTCTATTAAAAAAACCCTAATTGAGAAAACAAAATCAAATATAAATGTAAACACACACATCAATGTACAAACAAATACCAGAGTTTGTTTTATGAACAATGCATGCTGGACAATCTCAGAGAAGATTAGATACAAAAAAGAATGTCATGGTTGGGCATGTGAGAATAGGAGAAATGGGGAAAGAAGGAATTTGAGGGAGAGAGAAGGCGAAAAGATGGGGCTCATGTAATGGACAAAAGAGCAATAACTTTTTTCTCTTTTTCTGGCTAAAACAGAGAGAATGAGGATGCCAAGGAAAACAAAGGCAGGATCCTGGCAAAGGAGCTCAGGGATAGTATCATGAAGTGACCACATCTGTCCAGACAATCAAAAGGCAATGGCTGTAGAGATCAATAAACTGGAGGAATGGAATGGATGGTCATTACAGTTCTAATAATTGTGTAGGAAAGCCGGTTCTGGAGGCTGAGAATTTTGATTGTTGGGGTAGAGGCTGGGGGAAGGAGGATGAGAACACAACCAGCCTGAGTCTCCCAAACCTTCTCTTGCTGAGATGATTGCTGAGGTTCTGCTCCTCATTGGCATTCAGTAGTTGCTCTAAGTGCTTAGAGTATGTAGCTACAATCAGCAGGAAGAAGTCATATTCAAAAGGAGATGCAAGATATGCATCCTGAACCATGTTTTTCTCCAAATGTCAGAGTGAGTAGATTTAAAGTGATATTCTTCACAAGAATGCAAATTAGTTATTTTGTTGTGACTTGAAGTTCTCCTGGCTTCTAAGTGACAGCTACAGAGGTCATGAGGTAGTCGATAGTGGTTAGTCCATATCTACCTCACTCATTTTGTTAACCTAAATAAGAAAATTATTGAATTTTAAGAAACACTGCTTTACAAAGGAAACTAATGCAAATGACCCTAAAACTTGGTATTACGAATATCTGGAATCAAATCCAGGCTATGATTCATTTTCAGGGTCCACTGCTGCTACTTAATGGTACAAGGTTGCATGGAAATAGTATTTATATATTAGTCAGTCATACCATATCACAACGGAGGAGGAGAAATTGTGCACCAACTGGAGTTAAAACGCATCAGCTTGAATTTTAGGGGGACATGGCATAACTCAAATATTTCTCTATTAAATGTATTTCTCTATTAAATGTATCAAGGACTCTACTGGCTGTTTACTCCTGCCATAATACCTTCACTTCCAAAATTCAGAAATATATCACTTATGACAATTTACTGGCAGAATGAGTGGTGGGGACTTTTTGTCAGCAGAAAGGTCAAGTAATTTTCCACAACGCACTGCAATTTTTAAGCTTTACAATTTACTATAGGTGATCCAAGGGAAAGCCTATTACACTGCTATACACAAAAATTATGTTGTGAGTTCGTGCAACGCGAACAGTCAGGTACCAGCCTTGTGTGTTGTCTCCCACTGCTTTTTCTGAAATACATAATCTTGGTGGGTTTTGTTTTGAAAAATTTGTTTTTTAATAAATGACAGGAAATTTATCCAAGTGAAAAGCAAGAACTCATCTCACAGTGAGACACTGTCTAATAGGGTGGGCTTCTAGATATAAATGCAAGACTTTTCTAAGGACTATGGCATGCAATAAAGATTTAGAGTAAAGCAAAGAAAGTAATAAAAAAAGTCGACTAACCTAACCCACCTGAGCTCGGCTCACAGGGGTCAATGTCTTCGTCATCACTGGGACACTCTGCTGAGGCCACAAGGATGTCATCTGTGGTCTGTAAAAGAATCACATTCAGTAGATTAATTTAAAGGGACCTAACGGATCCTCTCACGTTCGTCTCATTGACAAGTGAAGCACTGCTTATTTTTACGTGACAGGTTGAGAAACAAAACTCAATATTTGCCTTCCCAAGGACACAGAGCTTACATTTTTCAACTTATTTTGGATCCTTCATGGAAGTATTTGCATATTTGTGAAAACTTGATTATAGCTTAGTTTACATGAGGACACAGAAAGGATGGTAGCCAACATGTACATATCCATCCATTCAACTGCACAGAGAAGCCTCGCACAGTAGCGTAAGAGGTTTAAAGCAAGCTGGCAGAAACAGATGATTTGAAATTTATTACAGCCCTGGAGTGCTACAATGTACGCATCAGTAGGCTTTATGCAGTACTTGGGCTTGGCTTCCTAAAAGCAGAACAGCTATCACATTTTATATTCACAACCAGGTTGAATTTGATGAATCTTTGAGATATAGCTTGTCATTATTAGGAAACACAGATTAAGTAGAGAATACCTTTCACTGATGTAATAAGGGAAACAAATATAGTCTATTTAAGGTACTTTTCAATTTTGTATTGAGCTTTCATTCTCAATTCTCAGTTTTGTAACATTCAGATTGTAGGTATCGTTTCCTCAACGTCCTTTTCTTCATTAAGGTTTCATAATAAATAAAAAGTGTATGGGGGGATGATATTTTACAGTAAAGAGGATAGAGGTGACAGTTTTCTCTGTGACATTCTAGTTGCTTCATTGCACTTACAGCAGAAAAGATAACCATCACTGTAATAAAAAGCAGAGTGTGTAAATCCTAGCGGTTAGTCACATAATCAACACATTTACGAGCACCAAAGGTTGCTCTTTATTGCCACTCATAAGCAGCAGTAAACTCAGCATAGATATTGCACGGAAATTTGGAAGGTTTGCATCAGATTCAGCTAATGCTAAGGTGATGCAGAGAGAATTCAAGGTACAAGAAGGAAAATATCTCATTACATTAGCTAAGGATTAAGGAGATTATAATTGTTTAGACAACTATCAGAATCACAACACTGATGAAGTCCTTATTTAAAAGCGGAATTACAGTAATATAGGTCCCCATTTTTAAAAAAGGTAGAAATATGATGACTTACTTTTACTCAAGGAGTACTTAATGTAGTCAGAGATTAAAGTATAAGGAAATAACTGTTAATAATTGCCATTTGAAAAATGGAGACAAGGGATAATGCACTTTTGCGACAAAAATTAGGCTCAAAAATCTTTAATCACAAGCTGTGTAATTACTTGAGAATAAGGAATTTGTTCAGATGCTAATGTTTCACAGTATGACTTTAAATAAACGCAAGCATTTAAATATCATTTTGAGATGGTTTCACGTTTTCTGTTCTTAATTCCTCTGAGACAGTTGGGAGACTGGATTCATTCATTTTGCTGCTGTTATTTTAAAAGAGGGAGTTCAAAATATCACTTTTTCTGGAATTGTAACTGTTCATGGCAGTGAAAACACACCAACAATTGGTGTGACAGTCACGCAGATATGTTTCATTAAAGGGAGCTTTAAAAGGCAAAAACCCATCCTCTTTTGGCACGAGCACATCCTGCAGGATAACATCTAAACTGACTTGATAATAACAAGTTATTGGATTATGAGCTCTTGCAGGTCAATTGTTCCGATTCACCCTGGAGCAGATAATCCGCTATTTTTCTAGAGCCAACTCGAAGTGGAAAGCTACTTCTTTCTCCACCACAGTGGATACTCTTCAAAATTAATTTCAAGGTTATAAGATAATTTTTAATTTTCCTTGAGGAATTTTGACTATATTGATGAAAGCAGTACAGGGCTGTTGTCTTGTCCTTGACAGGGGGAGGAGGAGGAGGATGTGAATAAATTCTTTAATCCAGCGCTTCTCATCCCAGCAGCGATGATGTCCCCTTTTCCCCTCTCCACCTGGGGGGGGCACATTTGGCAATGTCTGGAGACATTTTAGCTTGTCACAATTGGGCTGGGGGTGGGAGGGTATGCTACTATTGGCATCTAACGGGTAGAAACCAGGGGTGCTGTTAAATGTCCTAAAACGCACATGACAGTCCTCCCCCAACAACCACGTGACCCCAATGTCAATAGTGCAGAAGTTGAGAAACCTTGCTTTAAAAATTTAAAGACTGTTCTGTCTCACATTTTTCTCATCTGGAAAAAAACAGAAAGTATAATAGTCCCTATTGTCATAAGGATTATATTAGTATACAAAAAGCTCCTAGAATAAGACCACATTGTAAATGCTTATAAAAGTTGTGATATTATCAACACTATTATTATTTCACGAATGTAGCACCAATTTAATCTTTTTTTGCACTATATTTATAAATAATACAATTTTAGATGTTAAACCAGAAGTTATACATGTGAATTATTCTCACCTTTAGACCTCGCATTAGTATTTATATCAAAATACAGTAGCTATATTGGTACTTTGTGAACTAAGCTTCCATCTTTTACTGCCTAGGTTCAAATTCTGAATTAGAAATCAAACATCAAATATAAATAATGAAGGCTGCTTCTTAAAAGAAATTTAAGGGCTAAGGGGCTGGCCCCGTGGCCCAGTGGTTAAGTTCAACACGCTCCGCTTCGGCGGCCCAGGGTTTCCACGGTTCGGATCCTGGGGGGGGAGACATGGCACCGCTCATCAGGCCATGTTGAGGTGGCGTCCCACATGCCACAATTAGAAGGACCCACAACTAAAATATACAACTACTTAAAAGGGGGATTTGGGGAGAGAAAGGAAAAAAAAAAGAAATTTATGGGCTAAAAATGTGTGATTCAGTGCACAGTGTTTCATGCAGACTAAATTATTTAGGCCACACAAGTCAAATTTTGTTTTAAAAGTTAACCTGTGTTCAACAGTCATTTGAACAATCCCACAGCAAACAAAAAGTGTTAGAATATTCTCAGTTTTATCTTTTCACAAAACACAAACACAATACCTAAATAACAGAAGATATCATACAATAAATAGTACCTCCTGGAGCCCTGTACAGTTGAAATAAATCGCTTTACAAATATGACCCTATTGTAAAGCTATATTTTAGTTTTTAATGTACTTTTCTTGGTCTAATGAATTTACATTTTTGTTTATCATATTTTTCCTTCAGAAATCAAAAGCCAGCAATTGTCTGTGAATAAAAGATCTCAAATCAGGGGGCGGCCCCACAGCCAAGTGGTTAAGTTTGCGGGCTCTGGTTGGGCAGCCCAGGGTTTCGCTGGTTCAGATCCTGGGCCCGGACCTAGCGCTGCTCAACAAATCATGCTGAGGCAGCGTCCCACATAGCTCAACTGGAAGGAACCACAGCTAGAATATACAACTATGCACTGGGGGGCTTTGGGGAGAAGAAGAAGGAAAAAAGAGATCTCACGTCAATAGATGCCTTGGCAGAAATCATCACGGTGTGAAAAATCATAAGTGGCTCAAGTGTAGGAAAAAAATCAAATTTTATTTCAGAGGCTGAATTGACTGAACAATCTTCTAGCCAAAGCTGCATAATTTAAATTTAATTCACTGTGTTTGGAACTGCCTCTCTATGATATGCTGTTGAGAGAGTGAGAAAGAAATTCAAATATGTCACATTAATCAATTCTATTCTTCAGTATACTTTTCCCTGATGTTTGCAGCCTTTTTCAGAAAAGAGACAACCTGCTGAAAAAGAGAGACTAGTGATCAAGCAAAAGCATGAGTTTTACCTAACCATCCATTTAGGTAAGTGTCCCTAACTGTGCATTTAACCACTCACAGGTCAAAGGGTCATGCTGATCCTCCCTAATTCAGAGTGGTTTGTACATTCACATGGCAAGCATCTGTTCTCGTTCAAAATGTCTACTAACAATACTTAGGTCTCCTTACCTTTAGGTAAAAAATGACTTGGGCAGAATTCAAGAAAAAAAGGCACTGAAACAATTCATCATATGCTATGGATAAACACCAACGTGTTATAGGGTAGGAAAATGTAATCAGGATGGAGGAGAAACAATGTTTTTAATGTATAGTAAAAAGTTAGACCAATTTATTTAATATCCAGGGTTATTACAGAGAGAGCACTGGCGAGTTAGAAAGTAGAGAAACACTATGTATTTTTGTTGTTTTTTCTCACTTACAGGGAACCTTCCCCTTGCCCTTAATAGAATTTGCTTCATGTTCACTTGATGTCACTTTTTAAAATATAGCACAATTGCCTACCTGCGTGGTAAAAAGATATGATGAGAGGATAGTAAACTTAGTCTGTAATAGTATATCCCCGGCAAGAACAGCATTCCTAGACTTTATTCTTCATGATAAACAGCTTTGCTGAAGACTGATATATTCCCATGAAAACACCTACAAGAAAACTCCACTAGGACAAATCTGCTTGGTGAGGAAAAGAGCAAATTCCAACTGTGCAAAAGGATGTCCACTACGAATTTGATGCCTGCGAAGAAATTCTTGATTTTCTCTACAATTTTGATTGAAACTGTGTTTCTAAATAGCAATGGTCTATTTGGCTGTACATCCAAATTCAGCATAAAAAAACTAGTGTCTCAAGCAATGGTGCTCACTTGCATAACATTATCTAGCCTAATCTTTCACTGATGTGACAGACATTTAGACTGAACTGGTTGAGACAACTGAGAGGCTGAGTATGGTGCTAGCTGAAATGTGCTAAGTTTGGCTAACTGATGGACACTTGTCTTTGCTGATACTTTTGTCTATGAGAAGCTGCTCTGGAAGAGAGAAAGCATTCATGTCTGGCTTTCAGAACTAAATCTCACCAGACTCTCCAGAAAAGATTTATTGCTAGGAGTGTTTCCTTGAAGAAAAAAAATATGCCAGCATTCAGAATTAATGTTACAAATTCCCCAAGCAAGTTTCAACCCACTGTACTGATAACCTATGGGGCAAGAAGTTTCTAGGAGTTGTCACAATTTTCACCAAAAGGAAAAACTGCAGAAAAATAACCCAATTG